CAAGTCTAGATTTGTGATCTTCAAAATCTATTAAACATATAAAAAAAGGCAAAACGCTACCTGAGGCCAGTTTTTGCATAAAGGTATGGAATGTAAACAAGCACTCACTTGCATTTTCTTCTGCCGAATTACTCAGAATTATCTTAAGATTTGCGATACATTTGGATGGAAACACAGACATTGAGGCATGCAGGCACTGTTAGGTGGATGTTTGGACTTGTGCCTCCATCCCAGTATAGTGAAGGTGAATGGAATGGTATGGGCCTTGGATTGAAATGTCTTCCGAGCATCATGAAGTCCATGGAAATGGTTTGTTATGATCAATCCCCTGGTCTCAGCTTATAGGTGTTTTCTGTGGTGAAGGAAGAAAAGTGTGTCGTTGGCACATGAGTACCTACGTCAGACCGATCTCTGTCACAGATCTCTTCCTGGAATCAAGGGGATTCTTCCCATCTGTTTGCATACAGCTGATAACAGAGTAGATGCTGAGTGATTTAGGGAACTGATTTGGAAACAGAAAGAGGGACATTTAAGCTTCATAATGGATGTACAGCTTTGAGGTCTTCAAATGGTGGTTAGCGATGGCAGTTTTTTTTGTTGATACTACCACTAGAAGAAGTACACTAAATTTTTTTTAATGGCACACATGGTGCTTTAACGTTTTTTCTCTTCCATAACCAGTATGTAAATTAGCTAAGCACAAAACTGATTGTAGAACTTTTTTTTAGTTTAGTTGATTTTTTACTAATCAGAAGACATTAAACCTAATACCAACCTATCTGGAAATAGCCACTGATTGATTACTCAGGCTGCTGTCACCTTTCATTCCACTGTGTAATAAATGTTTCTGTTCCTTTTTCAGGACAACCTCGGACTCTACAAGACTTGTGTCGAATAAAAATCCGTCACTGCATTGGCCTTCAAAGCTTGAAATTCTTGGAGGATCTACCAATCGCAAAGGTTATGAAAGACTATTTAAAACACAAGTTCGACAATGTGTGAACGCAACAACAGCAGAAGAGGAGAGGGTGACTTAAAAACTCTCGGCTATCATTTATAAAGACTATGCAATCACTATGCTCCTTGTCTGGAAGAAATGTCCACAGGTCTGATCTGAAGGATGGTTAGTCCAGTTTGTTCGTCCAGTTCAACACATTAAAAAGTAGAGGTCTCTGCTCCTGTTCAGCCTTTTTTTACAGCTAGAACAGTTGCTGAAGGATGGCAACGGCGCGCCTCATGTGAGGAACGGTTATGGTTTTTGTGGGCAAAAGAAAACCTCATTTGACTGCAGATAGCATTTTTAGTACAGTTAGCATTATTAACAATAGTCAAAATGTGTACAATGTTATCCTTGCTGGGTCAGATTGTCATCAAGTGCATACTTGCCAATGAGTTTATTTTAATGCCCTCCCATTTTTTTTTTATTTTTTAACCAAGCTATATGAAGCTGAACTCAAACTGCTGCAGTGATGAAGACTTTCTTTCTGACTCATAATCTTCAAAGTGCTGAGCTTCTTTGAGCTAGCTTTAAAAACCTCTGCATGGTAAACTCCCTGATTTTGTTTTATCACCCAAGCAAGCGTAAATCCCAAAATAGCCCCGGGGTCAAAACTCTAAATCACCACCCTCATCTCCAGTTTGTTCAATGATTTATTAAGTAAATAGCACTCATTTTGTGCCCATGGACAGCCACTCCTGACAGTTGGAGAGACAGTCGACCCATCAGAGCTTTGCAGCTGAAATAAGCAATGTGGATCTCCATCAACTTGTTATGTTAAAAGAGAAAAGCAGTGTTAGTTTATGTAACTCTGCTATGAACAGAAAGAAGAGAGAACATGAAGCTGCAGATGACTGGAAGATGTGGGCAGTAAGGTAATCTGTCACAACACTGAGACAGTCTCAGTCAGGACTACAGTAGCCACAACATGTAAAATAAAGCTCAAATAAGATTAAAACAAGCTCACTACAGTTTATAAAAAATAACCAAACAAAATCTTTGACCTGACAGAAGTCCATCGTTGATTATCAGGCTATGAAACTTCGTCCCAGCTCACTTCTGATGCATTAGAACTCAACTGACAGTAACTGAAGTTGATGGTTTACTGCTGCTACAGGGTGCTGTAACAAAATCAGGGTGTGTCTTTAAAAGACGTTTATATCTGATATGCAAGAATAACTTGCATCAATACATTTTTATTTCATAATGACAGGCAAGAATTTAACATGCAGTTAAAATGATTTTGGACTTTGATTTGGGAAACGTTTTCAACCAACTTGGTATCATTACGTTACATTACATGACATTCATTAAGTTTTGCAAATGAACAATATTTGTCTCCCTCCATCAGGGTTCCCAAGCATCCTGGACAACCTCGGCATTTTGAGACTAGTTTTTCAGTCATCGAAACACTTGAAATTTGATTAGAGTGGCCACATATCCTGTAAATAATCTATGTAAAATGTTTATTGTATTTTAGCTGCTAACTCTGGTCGTCTCTGTAAACCTGGATGCATATTTTGTTTGAAATTTGACTGTTGGTAGGATAGGCTGCGCAGTATAACACTTTAAAGCGTAAGAGAAAAGTAGAACCGAGTAGAATGCCCTTTTTGGCATCAAGTCTATTCCACGCGTGGTTTTCTGAAAGAAACCCAGTGGAAATGCTGTAGATGGTCATATCTACACGCATGCAGCCTTATAATGATCACATTTAAACTGGGTTTAGTGGTTGATAAATACATGCGCAGCAATGTTAACTGAATCTTTTTTTATAGAGACCTCAGCAGAAAGATCGTATGTGGTGAGAACAGCCACAAAAGCAATCTGACCAACTATCTGTAATGAACCTGAGACACTTCATCATGAGCCCTGCATCATTAAACAAGAAGAAATAAAAGTAGGGTTTACTAGGCCTACCAGCAAATTTTATTATATTATTATATTTGTGAGGGATCCTTTTATTGTCAAGATATAGTCCAGGAGAATAATTTCTTAAAACGAGTAGGAACCCTGTCCATGTTGCATGCACCTAGGGCTCCTCAGGACTTTTGCCTCACTTAATCCGACTGTCCGTGGAGGCGAGCATGCACAGAATGCAGAAATACAATCTGCAGTTGGAACAGCTCTAGAGCCACTGACAGTCGGAGGACTTTTGTCAGCAACTGAGCGGGGAGCTCTGGGTGCAGACAACATGGAGGAAGTGAAACACTGTTCATTTGCATATACTAGCAACATTTTAATGATACTAAGCTGGTTGAAAACTGACAAATCTTCCTTTGTGAAGCTGCAGTAGGTAACTTGTATATAAAAATAACTTTTTGTCATATTTACTGAAACATGAGACGGATAAAATGTGCAAGAATCATCCGGGCCTGAACAAAAACAACCAATAACAACCAGGAAAGATTGTCAAATACCGCTGGGAATGAGATTCAACAATCACCTATCTTCAATCTTCCAACCCAAAGCGTCTTTATATCTTTCTTGGCTCAAATACCATTAGGGGCACTAGGAGGGGCCAGAGGAACCTGATTGTTTCACAGATTATCTGTCTCATGTTGTCGCATGAAAGTTTCAGCAAATATGACAAAAAGTTATTTTAATGAAAGTTACCTACTGCAGCTTTAAGTGTAATGCTTGGATAATTTGATACTATCAGTTGAACAGTGAAATTGTTCTGCATCAATCAACTTACGTTATCCATTTCTACACTATATGTAGTACATTTGAGTTGAGTGAGTGCACTGTGATAGAATTCTGTTCTGAAAGCACCAAATTTACTCACTGAAGCGGTTTGGTTTGGATAACACTGACACTCAATCACTAGAAGCTACAGTCAATGTAAATATGTTACATGTACAACAGATATTTTTGTAGAATTTATTTAAGCAATGATCTCTGGTATTCTTAATGTATTTAAAGTTTGGAAAGTATTGTGATATGTTTGGTGTGACTCAAGTATTTCTTTTTTTTGTGTGTCTGAGTTCAAATACTCTGTTCTATAAGAATAATTTGGAATCAAGATCAAGTGTTCTTTGATTTTTATGGCAGAAATGTTGGGTGCTTTCTTAAAGTTCATCATCTCTTGCAGGTAACTCTGTTGTGGAGATTAAACTGTGAATTTTTCATTTTGACAATTTAGAATAAAATGTAGGATTTGGGGTTTAAATAATGCCCGTGCCACAGCAAATAATTTTTTTCTTGGTCTCTGCATGTGTTTAAAATGCGTAGTGGAATTTTGTGGCACCTAAAACTTGGTTTCCTAAAACGAATCCTATTCTAACAATGTTCACCTGCATCAACATGTCAGTGTCATTCTCATATTTAAATTTGCATGTTTGTTTGTAGCCTTGTATCAGGAAATTTTGTGAAAAATGCACATTTTGAAACTGCGTGCTCTATGCAGGTCGACAGAAATTGGATAAAAAATATTAAAAAAGTTTAAGACAAGACTACAAGTGTGTTAACACAGGAAAAGAGAGTGAGTGTGGAGGTCAGGGGAGTTGCATTAAATATATATATTTTTTATGAATAACTAAAAGACAACAATCATAAATGACACTCCTGTCTCCCATTTCAGGGGCTGCTTCCATCAAAGTCTGCCTTTCAGACTGAATAACAGTAACAGCCTGACAGGACCCGTCCTATTTTAAAGGCTCCTCCAAATGCAGCCTACTCTTCCCTGAATGTAAAGGGCACAGTCAGTTCCTAAAGGCCCCTTTACTCTATGGCCTGGAAATGTTTCCAACAGCAGTTGCCTGTTTTGAGGAAAATGTTGTGAAATCTTTGGTCGTTAAAGTTGTCCTGTGGAGTTTGTGTGTAAACAAACAAAAGGTATTTTTACATTCAGTGTTACTCACCAAAATGCAGTGTGTATCCTCGAGCTCTAACAAATGTGTTTAGTAGAGCTGCAACAATAAGTCAATTAATCGATTAGCTGCCAACCATTAAATTAATCGCCAGCTATTTTGATAATCAATCAATCGTTTTGAGACATTTTTTAAGAAGAAATGTCCAGATTATTTTGTTTCACCTTCCCAAATGCTTTCTGGTTTCTTTAGTCCTGGACAAAACAAAATTGACATTTAAGGATGTCAACTCTGGCTTTAGGTAACACTGAACAACGTTTCAACATTTTCTGGACCAAACAACTAGGGATTTATCGAGAAAATGATCAACAGATTAATCCATAATGAAAATAATCGTTAGTTGTAGCCCTAAAATGTTGTGCATTATTTCCTCTGAACATTTGCAAAGCCATTTTTTTTTAAGTTTGAACCCTCCATTGTCTAGGTCCATGTTTACCAGCCAGCACTTTTCTTTGCCTTTGGTGGCACGTTTTGCGTTTCATTAGCATTACTGCCACTCCTCTGCCCTTGCATGTTCATCCTTGTGCCTGCGCACTAAACAATATAATGGGACTCACTCATAAAAGCGACTGCTCCATAGCACTACTAGAGGTAAAAAAAACTCCACAGGATACCTTTAATCCAAAACACAGGACGTAAATTTCACTCTGAGGTAGGTTTATCAACAAGTGATTAAGGACCGAGGACCAAATTCACAAGGTGACTGCTGCCCATCAGAATACAGCATGAAATAACACAGAATACACAGTCTAACACAACTTTCTAAGCCTGAAAGTTTTTATTACGTTTTGTCAGCGCTATGACTAAAGGCCTGAATATACTCCCAAAGGGATGCACACATGAACAGGTGCATACTGGTTTTGTTTATTACTGCTTTCTGGAGTCCGTTTGGAAGACACTTCCACACATGCGAAGACTTGTTCTTGTAGTGTAGTGGTTGTGCGGACACTCTGTGCAGTCACAACAAATCGAAGGTACACAGGTGTCCGCATAAAGCCTGCACACTCTGATGATGAACTTTATGTCACATGGGCCATTGTGTAGTCAGAAAGTATCATTTCAATTGACAGAATTGAAAAATTGCACCAAGATTTTATTAAATGATAAATGGACTGCATTTATGTAGCGCTTTTCCCGTCTACCGACCACTCAAGGTGCTTTACAACACATGCTTACATTCACACACTGATGGCCAGCAGCCTTGCAAGGTGCCAACTGCTCATTAGGATAGGTTAGAGGGTCAGTGTCTTGCTCAAGGACACTTTGACACACTCTTTCTGTTTTTCCATCAGATAAGCTCTGGTTATTGAAACGGTTCAATGCTCAACAGTACAATGCACAACAGCTTGTAGAATATGACACGCCCATTTTGGTTCCCAAGGAAAACCTGCTATTTTTTGGGTCCAGCTTGGAACCAATTTATTTTTGGTCAAAATGCTCCAAACATTTCAAAACTAGGCGTGCAAACTGGCCTATTTTGTTGTGTTTCCCCACCAAATTATCTCTGGTTCATGAACTGGTTCCGTCCAAGATGTTTGGAACCTTGGTGCTATCTAGCGAACCAGCCCGTGTTTTGAGCAGAACCATTGTAATCAAGGATGCATCATCAACAGAGGGTGTTGCACAATCAACTTTGGTTCCCAAGGTAAAGCTGCTAGTTTGGTTCAGCTTGGAACCAACTTTTCACGTTCTGAACCAATTTATATTTGGTCAAAGTGCTCTGAGTGGTGTAAAACAAGGATCAGAGTTGGTTTCCTGGTGCAAAAGGCCTATCTGAGGAGCCCATCAAACCAGGAACCTTTAGATTACTAGACGACCACTCTGCCTTCTGGGCCATGCCACCCCAATCTCACAAAATGTGACATACAGGGAAGGTGTAGATCATTGTAATGTGTAGATGTCAGCCATTTGAGACCTCCTTTGATTTTGAGAAGGATCACATGAATTAGTTTGTCTTTGTGAGGCTAGAGTGTCTTTTTGGGTGCACAGGTTCAGTCCAGTAGCCCTCAGTCCTCTGAATTACAGACTTTTGTAGGCTGTGTCCTCTAGAAGAGGCAGCCACTGGAATGGAACTATAACAAAACCAGGAGTGTTTGTTGAGCTAGGCAGTTTTTGTAATGTTGCATATGGCCTGGGTTTTTGATGTCTGTTCAGAAGTAGTTTTACTGATGTCTTCAATCCAGTTGATTTGACTGTTTCTGCTCATTCTTTTGATGATACATTCTGGATGCAGCTCCCTCCCTTTTGGCTCACTGATCATTTTTATAATGCAGTATTTCGAGATCTGAGTGAAAATAAACACTGAAGGTTACACAGTGTTCCTCGTGCCAGAATATTCTCCAGCACGTCAGTTCTGTTTCATGTTCCATTCAGTCCATTTTTCTCTACCTGATTCTGGATTTGATACAAATGCCATTTTGCAGCAGCAGTTTTTGTATTGTGTGTGAATAAGTCTGTCATACATTGACTGCCTTTTCCAATCAGTTCCTCAGCAGACTTTGGTTGTCACAGTCAGGGAAACACTTCATACATGTCTTATGTGGCTATCAAATGGCTGTAAGTCTTCCACACCATTAACTACTGAATGTACAGAATATGCAGATTTTCAAATGTAAAAAAAAACAAAATGTGTGAATAAACTAAAGTTAACGTTTCTTTGTTTTTGTGTGTGATGAATTACTGTGAGTAGTTGTAGCTGCAGATTAAGTTAGATGATGTAGTATACATGGAGGTGGTGGGATGGATGGATAACTCAAACACAGGACTTTAATCCGCTTTAGACCGCTGTTCGTGTCACATGTGAACCAAAACTTAATTTCTTTAGAGTAATGTACTTAAGTTAACTAACCCTAGCTCTAACCCTGAGTTACATCTACACGTTTCCAAACTGCAACCATTTCAAAATGGTAACCACCCACTCTGTATTTTGAAAGGCTAATGAATAATGCTAAAGATGTTGCATATTTGAGACCTGAACATCCAGAAATGACATGAGAGGTGCACCTACAGCATCATATTTGAAGTTCCTTGGTGTTGATCTGTCAGGACTCTACTGCAACTGTCTTCAGTTCCTGCTTGTAGTTCAAGAACATTCCACTTTTTGGTCTTGAAAAAGTATTTGGTCGCTTTGGGTTTTGGGTCATTGTCCTGCTGCAGTGTGAAGCACCGTCCAGTTAGATGTGAGGCACTGGGTTGAATGTGAGCGGATAGGATTGCTCTGTACACCTCAGAATGTGGAGGCACTTCCACTGGCAGCCCACTAACTGGCCCATGCCATTACATTACCTCTGCTGTGTATTACAGACGTTTGTGTGCATAAGATAATGGGCTGTTCCTTTTCTCGTCCACACTCTTCTCTTTCCCCCTGCTCTGCCAGAGGTTTATGTGTCATGAGTCCATAAGATCTTGTTCCAGAACTCTGCAGGTTTTCAGAGGTAATTATTTGCGAACTGTCACCTGGATATTCAGTTCTTCAGTTTTACAAGTGGTTTGCATCTTGTGGTTAAAACTCCGCAGTTATTCTTGTGAAGTCCTCTCCTTACCGTGGTTTTTGACACAGATATGCCTTTTGGAGAGTCTTCTTGATGTGGCTGAGAACTCCTTTTAACATTTACACAGAGACCAACAGTACCACCATGAGCAAGCACTTGGCGACAGTGGCAAGGAAAAACTTCCTTTTAAGAGGCAGGGGAAACCTAGGACAGGGGGACCCCGGCTCCTAGGTGGGTGGTCATCTGCCTTGACCAGTTGGGGTGAGATGAGACGAGAGAGACAGACAGAGAGAGAGGACAGAGAAAGGAACAGAGGTATGACAGAAGGAAAGAGACAGAGACAAAGGTGGCACAGCCAACAAGTAGCAAAACTACACCAATAGTAGTGATGATGGTATTAAATGATGAAGAACCATGAAGAAGCATGATGGACGACGACAAACAAAACTCCGATGGTTCAGGACTCACCTGAGCACCCTAACTATAAGCTTACAAGATACATAGTATCAAACACCCACTACATGCAAGTTAATTCTCTTTTAAAGCAACTGTTGCAGGAATCCGTACTTATATTTTTACCGATGAGCGGTGTGGGGCTTCCACTTATTACTTAGTCTCTTCATGCTGCAGAAAATCTTCCATTGGTCCCCTGCACACTTGTTCCCTCGCTTCTATTCACATAGTCTTCTAGTAGTGGCAGTTCTGCATCCATCATGCAACCATTATGCATCGATCATTATATAGTGTATTAAGGAAACCGACGATTCGTCAGATTTTGTTAATTGTTGGGTACGCGAGTCCACTCTCCATAGTGTTTTCTTCGGAGAAACCAGTAGAAACTTGACTGATTCAAATTAAGGACTGATAATGGAACGTATTGAATAGAATGTATTGTGGTGAGGACTGTCAATGGCTTCATTCGCACCGAGTAGTCGGCTGCGATGCCACCGTGTGAAGTAGGATTGCACAAACACGCGCTAAAATGGACATGATTTATGGGATGTTCTCAGTGTAATAATATTCAAGTGCATAAACAGATAACAGTAGTACCGAGATCTGTATAAGGATGTAGCAGATCCAACACAAAACAGTAACACAATGTCCACAGAGTTTGGTGTAAGATTTGTGATTTGGATGAATATTTATTCATTATTTTTTAAAAACAGATCGGGCGTCATAGATAAGATAGGCTTCTTCAGTACTTTCTTCTCCCCCTGATTTGCCCTGGCTGATTGGTTCTATGAGCTCTTTAAGGGTTGTTGAATGCTCTGTATGTGCAAAACCCGCCGCCAGTGGCATTGCGTCGTTGCATGAGTTGCTCCCAGCAAGATTTGTTGATGATGTAAAGTATATCTGTAATCTAAACTTTTAGTAAATTGAAGAAGGTAACATAAAAATAAAAAGTAAACCAGTTGTAGAGCACGATTTAAACGTCTTTCCATGGTCACTTCTGCTATTAGCATGTGATCGCGATCAGCTGGTCTGGACCCACAGTGATGTCGTTCCTCTATCTCAGTATTTAGACGATCTGTCCAGCATCCGATGCCATGCCCTGGTCTTGTGTTCCCTAGCTTGCTCCGGATCTAGATAATCACTGGTGGTGACCGTGGTAGCTATTCTTGAATGTTCTTAACTCTCCTATCTTATGTTGATTCATCGACTTACGTATTAGAATTCGGAAACTACGGGTGAAAGCTCAAAGCATTCGGTAGCGAGTGACGCATCTTTTGACTGACCTGCATTCTAACTGCATCGGAAACTCGGAGGTAATGATATTAATTTAAAACCAGTTTATATGCTAAATGGTAGACTTTAACATTTACTGTTTTTTATATTAGGTAAACTCAGCTGGTGACTTATGACTCTATTTCTTTCTGGTAGGAGTTCTTTTCTGTTGCGTTTATCTGACTCGCAACACTGTTGGCTCGTACATATTACGCTGGGCAGAATAGAAAGAGACCAGGATATGAGTCGAAATCTGATCGCTGTAGATATACTTAGGAAACTGCTCAGACATTGGGAGCAAATTGGTAGACGTACAATTGAGAGATTGTTGCCATTACTCGGGTGGGAACGCGACTGAGTGTAAAGTGTATTCTTTAAC